AGGGATAGGTGGCTCCGGCTTTAAGATACTATGGTCTACAAGTATGGCATGAGTACGGAGTAAGGTCCGATAACATACGGAGTAGATGGTGTAACATTAGGCACTGCATCGGCCCGACTAACTAGTGCTTGACACCCGGCTTGGGTGTCGGCAAGTTCCCCTTCCCCTTGGAGCAGCCCGGCACTGCCCTTTCGGACCGTTGCCTCAGACTATGCCAGTTATCCGCCCCTCCCCGCGCCGGCAGTATTCACCGGTATTTTAACTCATACAAGAACTTGCTTGACAGGCCGCGCTATCGCACATTTTCGGTTCGACAGCGTAGTAAGGCGAGAGGAGGGCAGCTGCGTTTGATCCCAGTAGAGCAGTGTAGAAAAGTGAGTCGCTGGCTTGATGCAACATCGTATATTGTATTGTTCTAGTTTGATGGTTACTATTTATGTAGATAAGTGCAGACTGCAAACCGCCCGTTATCTTCCACCGAAGTAGTACATCGTACCCTGTTTCCGAAGACATCCATCCTGCTTCCGCCAAGGAGACCAGGTGCTCTACCCTACCGGGCCGATATAGTTCTGCTACAGTATTGTGATAGATATAGGCACATGTACTCCGTACATCAATTGGCGATTGCGGCTTCACCCTTGTAAGCAGCGTTCCAAGAGTCCGATCATTGAAGATCGTCGATTGACCAATCACACCAATGGTTCTGCAGCTGACTTCTTGCGCTAAGCTATATACAAAATGTGGGGCTACGCAAATCTTTTGCGCAGCTGCGTGTAGGGGTGAAGCCGCAATCGCCAATGACTGTACAAAAGTAGAGCATTGGGGAACGATCCTGGCATGGTAGCAGATATAGCTATGATGATTTCTACATATGTAAGCACCGATTCAATTTTGGTAGTGAGTCCAAGGCGTATGATAAGATCTGATGGTCATCAGGTATATCGCAGCGGGCGGCCAGGCGGCGGTGGAGTGACTTGGAGCGAACGGACCACAACCGCTGACTACATTCAGGATAATGCTAGGAGTCCTTATGATTCTTCACCAGAAGTTATTATCATGCTTATTTGTTGTAAAGCATGCCCCCCAAAGTTGCATTAGGCTGGAGTCAATCTCGCACGGGTTGTACCGTACATGGATTCCACTGCGTACAGACAAGGTCATGATGTACACTCTCATGCATTTGCAACTTCCGCTTTGCGCATGCAGCTCAGTTTCCATCCCACGCAGGACACGGACCCGCCTGGTATACGCTTGTGCAAAAGAGGTTAAGCCAAATAGATATTATGCATTGATTGACCCGAGCGTGTCAGAAAGAAAATCAATCTATGGGATTGCTGACAGGGACTAGTATCATTTGGCAAGATTACCACTAAACGACAGAGGCTTAGCGTGGCATCGAAGGTCGTCTGCTCACAGAAATCGGAAGCTGCAATTGCATGAGAGTGTAACTAGTTTCTCTACGGATGATCGTTCAAACAAAGCTATGTAAATCACTATAAATTAGCTGGTGCAGGGAGTGCTACGCATCGTATCCGGTGTGTTCCGGATGAGCAACATCTTCAAAAAGCAGTTGAATTGGTTACGATACTGTTGGTAAAGTCCAACAGATTAGGCTTCCTTATCAAAAGTTGTCACTATGTCTGTTTTGTTATTATTAACTAGTAAACATGCAACCTGCAGCTGCATTACGTTCAATCCAATCTCGAGCTGGTTGCACTCCGCCTCGTTAGCTCCAGCAATGCCTGTACCTTTCTATGGTACATGGATTCTGCTGCATCTAGACGGGACAGCTAATCGGCTTTTGCTGGCGGACGAAATCACCTTTATCATTTCGCCCAAAATGTGCAGAGGGCTGCGCGTCAGATGATACGATAGGCTGGGAATCATGTCTAGTCTATTCGAAAAAAGGGCGAATGCCCGGCACTACAGAATATAAGAATGAGCTGAAGGCCATCTGCAATAGCCCATCAACCTAAGGAATTCACTCTTCAAGATGGCATCAAACCAATCCTATACACGTTCCTCTCATCAAGGCGAATCTTTCAGCTCGGAAGTGAATCCTTACAACAATGTCTGCGATCAATGCTATCGCCGCAAGCTCAGCTGTTCTCGTGGGAAGCCTGCGTGCGAGAGATGCCAACAGTCTGGCCAGCAATGCACGTACAGTATCAGCAGGCCTGTTGGGCGCCCGAAACGATCAGAGTCCGATGAGAGTCGTCAGCATAGGCGTACTGCCATGCGTAATGCTATCAGAACACAGGAGCAGGCATTGCAGAGAAAGGGCCTGTACACTCCCGTATCACAACGTAGTCTCGAGGGTATGTTCGCTTCAGCTAACTGTTGGTCGGCTTGCTAACTCGCGATGATCCTACAGACTCTCAGGCTAGCGACCAGTCCGGCCAGAAAGAAGAGACAAGACACAAAAACCCAGGAATCCAAATGCAGAACGATTCGAACCGTTCCGAAACTGCGTTGTTTCACTCGAATCTAGATACAGGACTGCAATCCCTAAGCTATGGGTCACAAGCCGATCAGGCTTACCAAAACCACCTAAGTCGTTCTGGAGAAGACACCACGAGTGGCCGAGCAGAGCGCCACGGCCAGACGTCAGCACAGCCAAACAACGCTCAGGGTATCTCAGAGCCGATAGTCACGACCAGCTTCGACTGTGGCGTACTACCACCCCTGTCGCCCGCGTTGGACGAAGAATTTCTAGATCTGAGTTTCCCTAGCCAGGAACGCCTCTACATCGATCTAGAACCTCAGCACTCTAACTCAACCGGCAGTAGCAGCGATGAAAAGTGTAATTGCCTTTCGTACATCATGCAATTCTTGAACAGAAACCGAGAAGGAAACAATACGAGGCGCGATCCCATGAACAGGATCCACTTACTCAACGAATCTGCTGAGCAATTTCTCATGTGTGAAAGTAACCATAGTAAGCTATGGTACATCATCGTGTTGGCTCTCTACCAAGATGCAGACGATAGTCTAAGCTTACCAGAAGAGCTGCGAGAGACGATAGGTGCACAATCTGAAGCAAAGCAATCCCACGGTGACAAAAAATCAACCTTGAACATGGTACGTTATACTTATCGCTCTGGGATATATAGCGGATATATCTCATCGGCTCCATGCTACAAAGAGCAAACCCTCGCCGGAAATAAAGCTGACCTGTTATAGCACCTTAAGAATAGGAACATCTTACTCAAGACGTTCATTCTGCTATCATCAACAGCATCTGCTCTACCTTTCAAGTTTGGGATCGATGGTGATGACAAGTTCAGTCCTGAGATTATGGAAGCCTTCGCTGAGTTGGTTCGGGACAGATTTGAAAATCGGCTGTTAGAGCAAGCGGACGAAGCAAGGCTGTGTAAATAGTGTGACACGATACGTGATTGTGCTCAAAAGATCAAGGGGCGACCCGCAACCGAGCTGGCAGTACAAAGCTGAAATCCAATCGCTGCAATAGTATTGAGTGAAGAAGGTATCTATCTACTCTGAACAGAAATCGCAATAGGTATCCACAGTCTAGTCACGTGATTACTACACCACAATACCTAATAAAGTACTTCAGCCACTCAACTCTTGTCCCGTTAAATGTCTAGTTAGCACTATCAGTAACAAGTGCCTTACAGAACCTACTCCGAGGGGCCTGTGGTTTTGTTCATCAAAGCATAGGAAGCAACGCGCCTCAAGCCATCTAGTTACATAGAGGATTTTTTCACCAATTACGTTTTCAACCTAGCGTTTGATTTGGTCTGCAGCGGCTCTGCCCGGGCGCAAGCCTTGCATAACAAGCATCAGTCGACGAATACAAAAGTCAGCGGTAAGGACCCTTATGGAAGTATCAGTGAAGACGACATGGACAAGGCGAGACCGTTCCAGCGCATTGACGAGGACCATCAAGGATTACATTCCATCTTGTTATAAGCACCAAAGAGGTTGAGAGGGCCAATACGTTCGAGCGCGCACACTGTCGCCAATATGCATAGCCAAACAGCTGCGGCTGCGGCTGCACTGCAGGAAATCAAGGTTTCTAGATTTTTGAGCGCTTCGTGTGCATCGCTTATCTTTCTCTCTACTAGGGTGCCGGTTGATGTGGCTTCACGACTTGGAATTTCTTAGGCACTTACACGAAGTCCTTGGGGCTCAATGAAGGGGCTCTCATTGAGGGTTGACAAATATCGCTTTGTCAGTTCCTGCAAGCAGTTGGTTTGAAGAAGTTCTATATGTTCTTTTTTGGTTATCTTGCTAAGAGTCGGTTCAGATACAGTATAGTTATTTCGTGAATAACTACATAACTTTATATAGTATTCTAGAGTTACAGGACCAAAATCTAAATTAAAACTAGTTATACCTCCCGTATAAGTAAGCTGAAAGAAAACAACCAAATGTTAGAGATGATCCGATTTGGATTAAAAAGGTTCCTAAGATTAAGGATTCTGATTTTTGATAAGTCTGTGTTATGAACCAACAGACAAACTGCTTACGCTCCAGGCCAGTAATCAGTTTGAAGGAAGCGGGACAAGCCAACTACGCCGCAAACCTTTAACCACGCCGCAGTCACGTGATCGATCGTCAACGATCATATAACTGAGAGCCAATCAAAAGGCGATTGTCCACGATCACGATCCTCATTCAGTATATAGGAATAGGCATCGAACCCTTATGGCTCGATGTATTCAACTTAAGTTACGAGTACAAGTACAATACAAGAGTTACTTGCAGAGACACTGTTCGTCACACCCTGTTGCTTCATCCGCGAAAATCAATCTCAAGAGTCTTGACACCTGAAGTCTTATATTATTTCCACTTAAGACTCTACTCTTAATATACGACTATCTTGAATATTGTACTAAAACTATATTACCCGGGGTCTACACGGGGTAGGGGTATACTTGCCTAGTCTCGGTCCGGGTTAGAGCGAGACGGAATAATGAAGTATGTCGTGCGATCGTTTGGCGATTCGCAGTGGAAAGAGAGTTATAAGTAGATGTTGACTGATATAAACAGACAAAAGTGAACTCCGTAACAACAGCCCTGCACGGCCTAAAACTACCACTAAAAGAATTGTACCTGACGGGTTGCCCGCCCACTTTTGCCAAGCCCTCACCAAAATCACTACATTATGGCCCAAAACAGCCCACTTTGGCCCTGTATAGTGCAATACAAGATAAGACATCATTCAGAGACTACTCCCGCTACTTACTTACACGTTCTCGCATTATGCCCAGTCCCGTTGCACCGTCCACACCGGCGTTGGGATGTTTCACCCACTTTAGCGCGCCTTTGCTTCTTTGGCTTCTTCCCATCACTACGCACCCCAAAGTCCTGAAGAGCGGCCAAGCGCGCCCCGTCTTCAACTGCCAAGGTCCCCTCTGCCTTGACCCGCTTTCTTTTGTGCGATTTCCGTCGCGTTGCGGCCTCATTTGTTGCCTTAAGCTCAGCTATCTCCTTTTGCGCCAACACTAACTTGTGTGCGATAGTAGCTGCCCCCTTTGAGACCTTCTCAAAGGCCTCCACAATAGACATTGGCGAGCTATTCACATGTCTTTGAATACTCTGCTTTACTAGCGTCCATTGCGACCCTAATTCTAGGGTATTACTAGGGTTTTGCGACACCCAGAGCTGGTTATTAACAGATAGAGGTGGGGTGCGCAACTGGACGTCAAGGGCCGATATAACCCGTTCTGTGTCAAATGGGACGGATCCAGCGCTTCGAAACCCTCTTTGGACATTGCTAGAAGTAAATGAGATGTCAAAAGCGCGTTTGAAGCAAGGCAGGAACTCTTGTTTTGTGATGTGGTTGATCTGGCTGCGCATGAGTGCTTCGACTTGGCGTCCATAGGCCTGCTTCAAAGGGGTAAAACAGCCCACATCAAGTGGCTGTAAGAGGTGAGACGAGTGCGGAGGCTTACTGAGAGTAACAGTATTGTTATCTTTGCAATAGTTTTGGAAAACCAGCGAGTTGTGGCTCTCATGGCTGTCAGAAATGAGCAGGCGGTGGGTCCTAACTACCTTTCTCTTTGTATGCTCATCAAAGTGCTTCAGCCACCCAAAACCTAGCTTATTGGTTGTCCAGGCCTTCTCAGAGACATCAATAATCTAGTTCTTAGATATATCGCCATGCTTGTGCCAGTTTGAGAGATGGTGGCGCGCCTTGAGGATGGTGAAAGGCGGAACCGTCCACCAGGTCGCATTGATACCCTGATGACCGTTGCCCACTCTCTGTTGCCACGCTGGACAGACTTTGGCCGTCCAGGTCTCTCTGAAGCTGTAACAACGGGTCTAGGGGTAATTTGGCCCATCATAAAGCCCGTCTCATCAAAGCTGTCCGTATCGTCGTCCTGGATCCAATATTTGGCTTTCAAGTTGGCTACCAGGTTAAACCAGGCTTGGATGGCCTTAGAATGCTTATAGAGAGCTCTCTTTTAGTCCTAATTGTGATTAAACTCGTCGTAAACTCTGTTCGGCGTTTAGCGAACCTACTGGGCTAGTTATGTACAACCTGGTCCAGATTACGCTCAGCACGCAAGGAATTGGCCATATTAGCCACGTCTGCGAGCCTGGGGGGATCTGCGTGTAACAAGCTCAAGTATATGCTTAAAAATTACGTCCTCTTCAAACTTTGTAAGACTCCTTATTTTGGGCCAGCGATCTGCCTGTGAAGGTCTTCCGTCGCGTCTTTGACTTAGTATTATTCGATTAACATTATAGATAGCTGCAGCGCGTTGAATAGAGAGGTTCGCGTTTTTTTTTTTTTTTTTTTTTTTTTTTTTTTTAAAAAAAAAGCTTAAAGAGCAAACTATATCTAACGTTCAGCAGAGGGCTTTAAATGCTGTTATTATTACGACATTGGAGTGGAGTAGTGTGTTAAGAGTAAGGTTCTTGAGTAGAAGTAATATAAGACTTCGGGTGTCAAGACTCTCAGGGTTGGTTTTCGCGGATGAAGCAACAGGGTGTAATGAACAAGGTTCTGCAAGTAACTCGTATATTGTACTTGTACTCGTAACTTAAGTTGAACACATCGAGCCATAAGGGTTCGATGCCTACTGCTATATACAAAAGGGTGTCCTATGTCCCATGCGGTCCCATGGTGTCTCATACTGTCCCATGCGTGGTACATCGTGGGATTATATGGGATCTGTGGGACACACGTGACATGTCCCATGGTGGCGTTCCGCCAAGCCCGTGGGATGCATGATTACTCATACGTCATTGGCTGGGTATGTCTGCTCTTTCACAAAGGGTTCCCAACATGGCCCCTTCCTTCATTCTTGCCATATCTTCGCGCTGTCCCCTCTGTCAGGTTCGTAACACTATCGTCGCTATCGTCGCTATTGCTTGCACTAATTTTGCCATCCACTATAGCTTTATAAGCCTTTTTGATAGTAGTATTGACATTAATACACGATTCTGTAGGAGTAGATTCTGCGCAATCTTCTTGAGTATACTGAGTAAAGCGTTCTAGGTCCTGTGACGGTGTGGTGGATGGTGAAGCTGCAATGAGATGGTGGCTCGTGAGTTTCGTATATGGATCGACAAGTTGACGAACATTATACGCCACCCACATAGCTGGCGTACGATCTGTTGTTATAGTGCCCTCACGATACTTAGAGCTGCTATCTTGAAGTATCCATTCCCACTTCATTAGGACCTTAGTGTTGTAGTTGTTATCGTCAGTGTTTATGTGTTACCAGCGCGCAACATTACGCTGCGTTGTGATACCGCCCGCTATACGCTTAGTGTATTTACGGCCAAAGTTTCGTATAGTTGGGAAGATACGTCTCCATTTATTGAAAATAATTGTAGCCTCACGAAGTCGTTTCGTAGCTATTTCCACCTCAAGACGAGCAAGGTCATTAACCTGGCGCTGCTGCACCATCTGCCGCGCGTCTTCGGCGTATATTACGCCACCTTTACTCTCTACAATCCGCTTCTTACGACGTCTTCGCTCCTCCTTGGCAAGGATAGCAGCCTCAGTTCTGTGCAGCTCACGCTTGAAGCCCTCGGCGTTGCGGGCAAGAGCTGAGACGCCACGAAGGTGACGGATCACATCAGCCGCGACCTGACGAGGGAGGTGTTGATGGATCACGGCGCGAACAAACGGCTCTTGTAACTCGATCTGTCGTACTGTTTTTGGTGTATGCCAAGTAGCGTCGCCAGGCTTAGGATCCTCGGGTTCTGGTGTTGCACCTTGTGGTTGAGACCGCCGCACTAGCTGTGCCGTCTCGAGGTCGATCTTAACGCGGTGGAAGCGTCGCACAGGCGCTCGAGATGGCGATGAGATGAGNGGAGGCGGCGAGGATATATCAAGAGGTGTACCGGCGCGCTGTACAAGCGGTAGTGGTGGTGTAGCTGAGCGGTCACTATTGCTAGAGTAGCAACCTTCTTGGGTTCGAATATGCGCTAACATGATGTCAGGTTTGTACGGCATTATGCCTGTACGGCGCCAACCTGAGCAGATTGTAGACTTTGTAAACGTTAAGCACCGGATCTCCTCTATTGTAGCCATAAAGTCGGCCTTGTTGATGTCGCGCGAGCCTGTACGAGAGGCNTACTCAAGCGTCTTGCCGTGATACCACTTGAGCGGTTGAAAGCAACCCACATCTAGAGGCTGGAGGAGGTGGGTTGTATGAGGTGGGAGGGTAAAGAGCTGTATCTTGTTATCTTCAGCAAGCTGACAAAACTGCTTTGTATAGTGAGATTTATGCCCATCTATTAGCAACAAGCGCCAAGCTCCATGGCGACTACGGCTTGTCACCTTGTTAAAGTGTTGAATCCAGGCATACGCAAGTTTGTCGTTGCTATATCCACTATCGGACACGCCTACAAGATACCCATCAGGTAGATCCACGATCCAATGCTCCATTACAGTAGCAGCTTTGACGATAATAAGAGGTGGAATAACCTCGCCTGTGGCCCGGATACACTCAACAAGGGTGATAAGCTCGCGATTGTTGGCGTTGTGGATAAAGACCGTACGTCCATTTTTGGTGTATAAGTACTGCTCTTTTGCAACACCAATNCGGCAGCCTGTCTCATCCATATTNTATATATCTTCAGGCAAGATACCGCGCTCGTCGATAAGGTCTTTNAGCCTAGTATACCAGTCAAGGAGTGCTGCTGGCTCCTGGGCAAGCTTACGCTGTACCTCAATTGACTTTGCCTTTACACGTCTATATTTTAGGTGCCTTGCGAGCCATCGTCGTGACCAAAGCTTGCCAACCTTAGGCGTAACTTGATCTAGTCCTGTATACGCATCCTCAAGGAGTGAGTTTGCCTGCTGTTCAACCAGTCCACGATGAATACCAAAGCCAATATTATCAATAGCATCAAGATACCGCTCAAGAGCGAAATCTTGAGACTCGTTAAGCCGGNNTAAANNAGGTGGCTTAGCGCGATCACAGCGATTCGGAAGTCCAAGATAGGCGCGTCGCAGGCGCTGATATGGCAAGTTGTGGGTAGTTGCATAGCTTTTAATGTTAGGTTGATGGAGGAGGCGTAACGCTTCGGCGTGCTTTTGCAACGCCGCCACCTCTTCTTTATATACAGACTTTCCCTTATTGACTTTAGGCATGGTAAAAACGATATGCGTAGTTAAGTTTATTTAATTATGCGTTGTTGTAGTAGATGTATGTACTAAAAGCTACGTATTATCATTGAGGTGATCATTATCGTTGAGGTGATAGGCCCGTGCGGAGCACGGGCAATTTCATTGAAATTCTGCTACAGCAGCCGTTGGGCCCGAGTACAATGAGACCATTTCTAAAGCGGAAAGGTTCTCAACTAGATCGATCGGGTTTAAGTATCTGCAATGCTTGAAACTCAAAAAAAAAAACAGAAGCCATTTTCATTTGTCAAAACTGAGCCAAACAATCGCGTGGTACTCGCAGTGCAAGACAAATCTCGTGTTCTGTGGTTTTTTGCTTAGCAGCCTATAATTGACGTAGTTAACTACTGCTGCATAACCTACGTATTGGCGCATTAGGTATGGTCTTTCAGTCTTGGCGCAACATCCCGGTCGACGCAAACTGGAATTATAGACACTAGGCGTGCTCACATGTACATAAATGTAGTGCAAATTATCCATTCATCGCTGTTCCTCCACGATACAGACCGTCCGGACGTGAAACAAGCACACCATAATAGCGGCATGATCATAACTGATCAGTATGGGTGCGGACGTGACAGGGCCGCTATCATTCAACACTGTGATTAGACGAGGAAAGCCTGCCATGTGTCACCTTCCAGACATAGCTTATTTCTGATAAGGGCGGCATGCGCGAACGGTAGGAAGGACACTGAGTCGCTGATATCTGCACGCACATGCGCTTCTATTTTCTGCTTTCAGTGCGCTGCCTCCCTTTCATTCCAGGCAGCACATCGGCCCGCCTAGTATGTGCTTGTACGGAAAAGGCTGCTTGACAAGCGTAGACTAGACTTTGACCAGTCCAGATTCACACCAAGAACTGCCCCGTGACATTACCGAAAGCAGCTACCCAGCATTGTTCAGTTAGGTTCATCATTGGGTAAGAGAGCTTTAGTGCAGCATCAAGATGGCCTACTTGCAAGAATCCGGAGCCTACAGGTTTATGAGATTGCAGATTTCTTATTGATCGGCTGTTGCCTTGCAGTTTACAGTACGAACTAAGCATTGCTTTACTTGCTCCTTTTTGCCTCGTTCGCTGCTTGGCTACCAGTGATCAAAACACAGTTAATTGGGCCCTTTTTATGATAGATCTGTTACATCCCCTCTCAGTCGCTATAACATACATTTACTTGACATGATGGCAAATGCATCGCATTATCAATCGTGGGACTTGCTGAAAAGGTATGCAATCATGTTTATATATGTCACACTAACAAATGCACCAATGCTCGCAAGTATCCAGTTCCTTAGCATCTGGCGCCTACTTTGACATCAATATCACATACGGTAACAATAATTCAAAATTGCACAAGGTCATTGTCTGCACCAGAACAGACTTTTTTGCACGTGCGGTCAATTTTGGCGGGCAGGTAAGTAACTTTACATGCGGGTTGTACACCCAGGTCAGCTAACTCAAGTGAAAGAAACCAAGAGTGGCACATCTAACCTGCCCGAAGATGAGCCTGAGACTGCAAGACTTCTCATTCAATATCTGTATGAGAGAGAATACGAGCCGCAACTACCTCCGACAGCTGTCACTTTCGACCATCGCCGTTTCCACACCAGTCAAGCATGGGAAGCCGTCATCCAAAACAGAAGACTAGCGTCGCGTCTTCCCCCATACCTGTACTTGTGAGTGTGGTTACTGTGGTCATAGTCTACTCTATCCACAACATTACTGTGGCGAATGCTGTAGTTACACATGCAAGAGATTTGCCTATAAAATCTGCACTACTGCTGCACTCACCGGACCGTCATCGAAACTTCTATTACATAGCAAAATGTATCTCTAGGGCACGCCTGTGCGAATACATCGCTAAGGCGGAGGATGAATTACAAGGCACGTAGGAGGAACCTTTACCTGATAGCATTAACAAACCAAAACGATCGGAAACACCTCATAAATAGACATTGCCAGACAATGAGACAATGAATTAGAGTAATTACGTGAAGCAAGAGAGGAGAGTTGCGAAGCGAGTGGATCATGATACGGATTACGGGGACAGGTAACCACACAGAGAGCCACTCAGAGTATGTAGTTAATAAGGTAGTTGATTAACTGCATTGCGAATTGCTGTTGAGCAGATGTTTCTTCCCATTTTATCGAATGACGAGCGATTTTACTGCGCTAATTGCTATCTTATGGCAGCAGCGCGACAGCGAGGCAGCTATGCTGTCTTTCTTTGCTGAGTTTCTTGGCGTCGTAACTCCTTATGCATTTCCATTTGCTTCATCGTGCCCCGACCTCTTATTACCCTCCCGGTGTCATCCCTAAACCCATATTCCCATACATGCTCGTCTGGATCCTCTCGAGAACGGAACTCTGGGGCCGCCCGGGGTGGCAGATGAGGATCGGTCGTGTAACGCCACTCTTTCTCGATCATACGACGTGCAGCTGGTGTCGTTGCTGCTATACTGTGCGCACCTTCCTTCTTCAGGTGAAGAAGGAAGTTGCTTCGGAGGAGCCAGGATTTGCCATAATCGGGGCACGATGGTAGCTTACATGGATAAGCCCATACATTTCCGAGGGGAAGATTGGTGTCAGCGTTATCGACCCCATCATCGCTTTCAGAGGGAATAGAAGGGCTGGAGAGTGAAGGAGTCATGCTCTGTCCACTAGTTGCTTGTGCGATGGCGAAGAATATCAGTATTGTAATTCAGCTCCAAAGCGGGGCACCAACAACGAAGCGGCGGCCACATAAAGACCAAGGGATTAGCCGAGGCAATGCCGGCCTTCTTGGACGCCAGCGCTAACACACGCATCATGTATCATGCCTTGCATGCGTCGGGACATACAGATCGCTATATCATTCTTGACATTGCGTTTCCAGCTGATAATGCTGCGCCGTTTCTTGAGTATGCCGACGAGGCGTTTGGCTTGTACCCTATTTGGCTGTGTCCGCTGCGCCGAGATGGCAGGAGCTCAATGGGGCATGCGAAGCCGTTTAAGCTCGGACACCTAGTAATGGCCACACCCAGTAGTGGCCACCCCAACCACTCCACCAACAACAACTATTTTTGAATTTTGAAGCTGCCCACCACCACCACAACGTGCCTAATATGTCCAATCGCGAAGAATCTATTCAATCTGCTATCCGCGATTATCATAATGGTGTTTTTAAATCACAAAAAGCTGCTGCTGCCGCGTATG